TCTATTCCGTTGATTTCTGCCCTGATTTTTATAATTTCCTCTCTTCTTTTGGCTTTGGCCTTGAATTCCTCTTCTCTTTCTAGCTGTTTGAAGTGTAGCATCAGGTTATTTATTTGTATTTCTTCTGTTTTCCTATGTGGGAACTGGTTGCAATAAATTTTACTCTGGGGACGGCTTTCATTGCATCCCAAAGATTCCAGTAAGTTGTATCTGTATTTTCATTTTCTTGTAGGTATTGTTTAATTTCTTCTTTAATTTCCTCTATGATCACTGATTACTCAAGTGTGTTATTCAGTTTCCATGTGTTTGTGGGATTTTTGCAGTATCTTTTATCACTAATTTCTAATTTTAAAGCGCTATCATCCAATAACATGCAAGGGAAATATGTTCTGTGAGATAATATATGGTCTATTTTAGAGAATGACCCATGTACTGCTGAGAAGAATGTGTATTCTGATGTTGTTGTGTGGAACATTCTGTATATGTCTATCAAGCCCATTTGTTCAGAGGTGTGATTCAGTTCTGTTATTTCTTTGCTCATTTTCTGTCTGGTCAATCTGTCCCTTGGTGTCAATGGTGTGTTAAGGTCTCCTGTTACAATTTTGTTACTGATAATTTGATTTTTCATTTCTGGTAATAGTTGTTTTATATAACTGTGTGCTCTGGAATTTGGTATATATATATATATATATATATATATATATTTAAGATAGTTATCTCTTCCTCTTGGAGTTTGCCTCTAATGAGTTAGTAGTGACCTTCTTTGTCCTTTCTGATCATTGTTTTTTTTTAAATTTTATTTAAGGAGAAAAGAAAAAAAAGCAGGGAAAGGGTACAAGTTATACAGATTTACAGAAAAAAATGAACAGTAGGAAATCACTAGTTAATGGATTACATATTGTCATCTTAGAAATAATTGTTCAAGACACAAAATTAAAGCTTGTAAAGTGGACATTCCATCAATGATACTGCAAACAGTTCTGTTCATTGATCCAATAAAACTCTGTGATATCATTTTCTATCTTATACACTTAAATATGCATGCAGTTATATAGTTTGGAGCACTTTCTTTTCCTCTCTTTTGTACCATGACTATTACACATTTTGGGTTTCATTGCTCCCACGGTTCTTATTACTTTTTTGGAAGAGAGTAAAACCAAATGTGACATAACAGAACAGAATCGGTCAAGTCAAAAGGGTGGACATAATAGAAAATGTAAAAACATAATACAAGGTGATCAACAATGGATCATTGTTGTTTAAAAGTTCACGTTGTCTGCAAACATAATGGCTCCTCCTGCTTTTTTTGGATTCCTGTTGCATGAAGTATTGTTTTCCATCCTTTGACTTTCAGTCTGTGAGTATCCTTCTGGGTTAGATGCATTTCCTGTAAACAACATTTGGTTGGATTTTGTTTCTTGATCCATTCTGCCAGTCTGTTTCTTTTGATTGGTGCATTGAGACCATTTACATTAATGGTTATAACTGTTATATGTTGGTTTTTTGTTCACATGTTATCTTTCTGCTGTTGCATCTGTATCTTTCCATTCTGTTTCCTTGTGTGCTTTGCTTAGTGGCTTTTCCTTTGTGTATTTAAACTGTCTCTCAATATTTTTGTAAGGTTGTCTTGGTGTTCATGAAGTTCTTCAGCTGTTCTTTGTCATGGAAGCATCGTATTTCCCCATCAATTTTGAATGATAGTTTTGCAGGGTACATCAGTCTAGCTTGGAAATCATTTTGCTTTAGCTTCTGGAATACTTCACTCCATGCTCTTCTTGGCTTTAGTGTTTGTGCTGAGAAGTCTGCTGTGATTCTGATAGGTTTTCCTTTATATGTGATCTGTCTTTTCTCTCTGACAGCTTTTAATAATCTATTCTTGTGTTGGATTTCTGGGATGGTGATTATTATATGTCTGGGTGTAGTTTTATTTTGTTAATGACTATTTGGAGTTCTATAGGCTTCACTGAACCTGATGTCGCTTTCTGATCTCATGTTTGGGAAATTTCAGCTATTACTTCTCTAAACATCCTCTTGAAATCCTTTATGTTTTCCCCTTCTTTTTCATTAATCCCTATCAATCTTATGTTGTTTTCTTTGCATCATCTTGCAGTTGCTGAATTATTATTTCCTGATTCCTTGTTATTTTTAAAAGACCTTTCCTTTTCTGTTCACTAGCTGCAATCCTGTCTTCAAGGTCTGAAATTCTATCTTCACTTTCATTGAGGCAGTTTTTACAGCTTTCAGGAGAGTTTTTGATTTCCTGTATATCTCTATGCATCTGCTTTATGTATTCTGTTTATTCCTTATATTGCTCCTCTAGGGATTCTACCTTTTTGTTTAGTTCCTCCAATTTTTTAACTGTGTTTTCTTTAGATATATTCAGTATCTCTTTCATTTCTTTTATCATTTCTTCTTTTACCTGGGAGATGATTTCGAGTTTGAATTCCTTTAAAGCTTCCCAGAGTTGCTTGTTTATTTCAGTATCTATTATGTCCAATATTTGAGGTGTGTGGCATATATTTTCTTCAATATACATCGCTTCTAGGGTTTCTTGAGATGGGCTGGAGGTTTGAGGTTGTAATTTGGTCTTTTGTTTTGTCATTTTCCTATATTTCTGTGTTTCAAGTGTTATTTGAAAGCTTCCTCAGGTTCTGCTGGAAATCCACTTCTATGTTCTCAGCTCCTGGGACTCTGGCACCCAGTTCCCCCAGGCTGCTGGGCCTCTGGAACCAGGTGCCCTCTTCTGCCTGCTTAGAACTCCACAGTTCCTGATAGGCTGGGCTCCAGGGACAGTGTGTGCCTCCTGCTTGCTTGGAACTCCACAGTTCTCAAAGCCCAGCCGGAATGGGGAGGCAGATGTAGGTGTCTCTGACCTGCCTATCTACTTCACTGCACCCAGAAGGCTCGAGGGTCCCAAACAGGCTGGGCTTGGGGGAGAGAGCACTGGGCTCTTATCGCAGGCCACGGGGCCTCTGGAACTGGTGATGCTCACCTGCTTGCTTAGAAGTCCACAGTCGTCCAGACACATGGGGAAGTGGATGCAGGCGCCCCAGACCCTCTCAGCCCTTACTCTGCACCGAGATGGTGCGAGGGTCCCAAATAGGCTGGACTCCAGGGATAGTGTGCACCCGCCTGCTTGCTTGAAACTCCACAGTTCTCCACAGTGCAGCCAGAATGGAGAGGTGGATGTAGGCACTTCAGACCCACTTAGCCCCTTCACTCTAGGATTCTATTCTTGTGTTGAATTTCTGGAATGTTGACTATGATATGCCTGGCTGTAAATTTTTTCTCATTGCTAATTGGTGTGATATATGCCTCATTTATCTTCATGTTAAATTCTTTTTCTCTACCAGGCAAATTTTCTGTCATGATATCTGTGAGCCTTTCTTTAATGTCATTTGTGCTATCTCCTGCTTGTTCATGGACTCCAATTAATCTTAAGTTATTTTCCTTTATCTCATCTAGCAGCTGATGGATTGGTCTCTCATGGTCTCTTGTTATTGGGGGGAAATCTTTCTTTTTCTGTTCATTAGCTGCCAGCCTGTCTTAAATATCTGAGGTTCTGTCCTCACATTGGCCTAATTTGCTTCAAATACTTTCATTGGAGTGTTTACTCTCCTGGATATCCGCTTGGATCTGCTTGATGGATTTCATTTCCATTTCTTTCCAATGTTGATCTTCCATAATTTTTTAAAACTCATTTGTTTTTTCTCTGTATCTGCACTAGCAACACTAAGCATGGTGTATATTTTGGTAATCTCTATAATTATCTGAAAGAAAATTTCAGGTTTCCATTTTTCCAGAACCTCATTTAATTACATTATTGGTACCACTCTAGAGAGACCTGGTGGGGGGAAGTTTTGGATTTTCCCACCTCATTGCCCAATGGATTTGTCTTTGATGAATTGGGTGTCTGGGGTTTTATTTTGCTTAAGTGTCTTCTCCTTTTATTTTCTCTCTTTTTTAAGTTTAATTCCTAGGATGATGCTTTAAAATTGTCTATGGTGGGTTGTTTTACTGGTAGAATTTAGGACTTTTGGGTTTTGAGTACTTCTCTGAAGTATCTTTCAGGTGTAGGTGATTTTTGGGTTTTGAGTCTGTTGGAAGATCATACCTCTTCAATTTTTTTGAGACAAGAAGTTGTTGCTTGTTCGGCCTAGTCCCTGGTTCTCTGGCACTATTATTATAAGTTGCAGGCTGTAAATAAAAATCTAAAGATCTATACACATATAATGTGGATATTTCTTTCTGGCTTTTCTAACTGACAACTATCAAAAGAAACTCATTCTCTTTTCATTTAACTTTTCTCTAGATAAGTGAAATATATTACTTTAATTTCAGACATAATTTGAATATTTTTACACTGAGAAAGCAAAAGTGGTATCCCCACTAGAAAGACAATATAGTGTAGTCAAAATATACTAAATAAGAGACAATGTTGAGCTATTACTTTCCAAGATGGACTGACTAGATATTTGTCCAAATAATAAATGGAAGCAATCAATAAGAAATACATAAAACACATTGAATTGGGTGTGTTTATATTTCTAACTTAAAGACGAACTGAGAAATTATTCTTGCTGTCATGAGAATATGCAAGTCAAATGAAAGTTTTTCTTTTATAGTTGATATGATTAAAATAATTCACATTTTCTTTTTCCACAGGAGGCAGGTGAGACAGCCATCCATGATAATAGGAAAGTCAGAATTTTTTATTTATTTATTTTATGGATTTATTTAAAAACGTATCCTTAAGATTTTTGTTAATAAAGTTTTTCAATCACTACATTAAATAGAATTTAATGAAACTGAAAATATTATAATGCTATTCCTTTAAATTCTTGACACTTTGAAAAATATATTATACACAAAGAAAGTTTAGTGGCTTGGTTCATATGATGATTTTAATAGGTAACTTTACATTTCTCATTTTAAATAAAAATATCTGAGAATTTAGAAAAAATAAAATTCTTAATAATTATGATTGATATTTGCTTTAGATTATAATTCAGGATGATGGCCCTGAAAAATTGGACCCCAAGTATTTTGGAGAGTTGCTTGCTGACCTAAGTCGTAAGAATAATGATCTGTATCACTGCTTATTGGAACATTTGCAGAGAATTGGAGGAAGGTATTGTAATATGTGTTTTCCCTCAATGTTGTAGATACAAAATATTTTACTACATTATTATACTTTTATGATTTTTTTAAAGATAATTTTTAGGTTTGCAGAAGAAATCCAGTACTTTTAATGGTGCAGCCACATAAGTAAAGCTGATCAGCAGATAATTTTGTGCATCTTTTTTATAAGTAGTGGGAAGCAGAATCAGGCTCCTTGAACAAAGAACTGAGAAATGCATGAATATGTCAAAAAGGCAAAATATAACTCTTACACATTGTTGATGAGAATGAAGATTACTAGAGCCATTATGAAAACAGAATAGAGGTTTCTCAAAAAATAAAAATAGAACAAACACATGATACAACTCAATCTTGGATATATATCTAAAAGAAATGAAATTAGTGTATCAAAACATATGTACTTATTTTTATTGCAGGCATATTTACCATAGCCAAAAATGAAAACATTCTAGGTGTCTATTAACTAATGAATATGTAAAAATAGGGTCATAAGCAAAATGAAATACTATTCAGGCAAAAAATGACATCTGGCCATTTGCAGCAACATGGATTGAACAGGAGATCATTATGCTAAGTGAAATAAGACAAACATAGAAAGACAAATACAACAAGGTCTTGCTTGTATGTGGAATTTAAAAATGCTCATTTGATAGAAATTGAGAGGAGAATAGTAGTTACAGAGGACAAGGGTACTAGGAGAGTTGGGATAGAAAAATGTTAGTCAATGGGCACTAAGATGCAGTTAGATGGGAACAAGAAATTCTAGTGTATTATTGCACAGTGAGATAACCATAGACAGCAATATCCTGTGTATTTCAAAAAACTGTAACAAAGTATTTTGGAAGTTTTTAGCACAAAGTAAGTGTTCAAGGAAGTAAATGTTTACTCTTACTTAAATATTATGCAGTATTTAATGAACAGATACATGCATCAAAATATGGCATTATATCCCTAAACATGCGCAATTTTTTGAGCATTAATTAAAAACACACATGGTATAATGGGACTTGTTTTAAGATACTACGTTTATGATGTAAGATACAGTCCCACTGCCAATTCCCCACTGTTTATCTTCTACTTATATATGCTTAATATATGGAAGCTGGTGTTTAATATATACTTAATATGTTATACATTATGTATAAACTTTGTATATTATGTTAATTTCATGTACTATACATTTTATTGCATATGAATTATTAATAAGCATTTTAAAATATGCATACAAATGTTACATAATATCATAAAGACTATCTAATTATGTATACATATATAATACGTATAGATGGAACTAGAACCTACACTCTGGTAGCCTTTATTCTTTACACAAATCACTTAAATTGTCAATAATATTTAATGTCAGACAAATAGTTTAAGATACTGAACACAAGTTTAAAGAACTACTAATTATTTACATCATTAAATTTGAAAAGGATACAGGGTTAGGACTGATTTTATAGTGTTTAAAGTTTGCCTCAGAATACTTAATGTTTGTACAAAGTATAGAGTGCGATACTATTTGTATTTTGCATTGCCCAAGAGTTTAGAATATACAATCTTGTTAAAGCAGCTGCTCAATAAGCTTTATATAATTAGACTTAAATATGGTTTTTTTGTCTTGTTCTTATTAGAAGAAAGAATAACTTAGGAAGGAGTTTAAATTATGCCATATTTAGTAAACACTCCAGGGTAAACTCATAAAACTTTGGTGCTCAAGAATTCTCATTTGTCAGAAGGCTGTAAATTTCTTTCTCTTTATTGATCTCCCACCCTTCAGTCTCTTTCTTTTCTTGTTTTTTCCTCATTTAAGTTCTTCCTTTCCAAGAAGTAACATATAGTGTGAGTGACTCTGGCTTTTTTGCCCAATGATTTCCTTGCCAACATCTCCCAGTGCTAAATGGAGATACAATAGCCACTAAAGTTTCTGTTTTCCTGATCTGCTCTCTTTGTTTCCACTTTTTTCCTTGCTTTGGTTGCCACTCATCTATTTCCCAGTGCAGTTCAAAAATAAATGGGCTGCAAGGTCAGAATTAAGGATGATTCCGTATGGAACAATTTTGATTAACAGTTAAAATTCTAGTATTAAACAATTATTTATCGCTCCTTGTTTTATTTATTATTTTATATCCCTATTTACACAAAGAAGCAAGTGACTAGGAACATATACACTGAACTAACATTGAAATTAGGAGAAAGATTAGTATTTTTACACACGAAATTATTGATATTATCTTAAATTCTGTTAATATTGATGCATAGCTACTTTGAAGCTGCATTGTGTTTTGTGCTTTTAACTTGCTTTAGCTTCAAATATATACATGCTGTTACTTCAATAAAGCATAAAAAATAGGAAGTATTTTTTGCTAAACCTCCCCAAAATTTCTATTTTGATTGACAGAAAACATATTACATGCATACATGTAAGCAATTGCATATATATATATATATATATATATATATATATATAGTCATGCTTTTGACAAATGGAAATGTCAACACGTTTTTATACACTAACCTGCATACTTTTATAAATATATAAGAGGCTTTGTGCAATAGTGATCCACTTATCTCTGTAAAAAATTTAGTACTCATAAACAATTATTTAAAAGTAAATTTAAGTGCTAATGTACTGAAGTTGTCTTATTCTACCTGGTGCTTTTCTGCAATCCCAGTACTCAGGAGCCTGAAGCAGGAAGACAACCATAAAATTGACTAGTCTGGAATACATAGTGAGTATTCCTGTCAGGATTATAATGTGCAATCCTGTCTCAAAAAATAAAATAAAACAACAAAAAAAGTCTTAGTCTGTTTTTGTTAGTAATGTACAGGGTTTTTCTTATTTATCTGAGAAACCTACTAACCATATATATATATATATATATATATATATATATATATATATATATTAGACAAATTTTTCCACTAAGTGTGGAGACAGAAAATAGATTAAAATAAAAGAGTCTCTGTTGCCCGACAAATTAGAAAAGACAAAATCTTTTCTCATTTTCACCATTCCAGAAGAAGTAGCTTCCCGTCTGTTATGACCACTAACCATTTTAAAGCATTTGGCTACATTTAGCAAAAATGTAGCATGGCCTCTAAATCCGTATATCTAAGCACTTTTCTTGATATCAGAAATTATATTATCCAACTAGAATTTTGGTTGTTTTGATTAAAGTTTGGCCTTATATAAATTTTTAAATACCCTTCAGGCTTTTTTACTGTCATAGTGTACATTGAATGAGTTAGTAGTACAGAAATTTAGATTTTTTCATAGAGTATAAATAACTTGAAAAGATAGTAAAGAAAAGCTGGAATTGATATCAAATGAGAGTAACACAGGAGAATAAATGAGGTAGAATTAGTGAAAAAGATTGTTTTTATTTCATTTCATCCAAGTAGTATTTATTGCCAAGCACTGAGGACTTCTACATTTAGCCTCAAATCAGCCTTTGGTAATAGGTATAATAAGCAATTCTGTATAGTTTATTATTTTACTTAAATATTGTTCCTTTTTAGTAAATCAACTAGTGCAGGAAACTTTTAAAATCACATTAACTAAAAGTGCCATTTTAGATAGCATTATTTTTCTTTGCAATTATAAATGTAATCAGTACTATTGTGATATAGTGAAAATATAAAATTAACAGCATTGTATGTAGGTGTGATCAGTGAGTAAGTTTTCCTAAGACTGTCTCTTTTGTTATTCTTACAGCAAACAGGAATTTGAGTCTACTGATACAGTAAGTATAAAAATATTTAAAGTCAAATATAGATTTTGATAGCTAGCTAATATTTTAATTTAGTACATTTATTTGACTGAAAACACAAGTTGATGAAAGAAGTAATTATTATTTTGCCTTTAGAATAATATAACCATCATTTAATTTTTTCTAGTGGCTATAAAAAGTCATTCAAAAATTTGATTTATCATCTAGCACTTTAGGATTCAATTTTAGCACAAGATTTAAATATTCTTTGATTACATATTCTCTGCTTTAGAAAGCTGAAATCTACACAATCTACTAAACAAACAGCAAATTTAGTTTTAATATGCTTCAAATTCGGGGCTGGGGATTTAGCTCAACGGCATAAGCACCTGCCTTGCAAGCAGGCAGTTGTGAGTTCGATCCCTGGTACCGATAAAAACGAAAAATACAAAAAAAAAAAAATATGCTTCAAATTCTTGTGCCAGCACTTTAAATGCTTTTTACGTGTGCCATTTTAAAAAATTTATTTTAATGGGATAACTAATTAAGTAGAGAAAACTGATTCCAATTCAAGAAAAAGCACAATCACCTTTTAGTTAATTTTTAATCTTAATTCCAATGTGTGTTAATGCACTGCATTACTAAAATAATTCAGTAAATCCAGAAAATTTTTGAAAAGTACTTATTTCAACTTCTCATTTAAAATTACTTGAAGTTTACCAACATTGATATAATATAATCCTTCAAAAGCCATGACAGTTCTTTGTAAATTATTAAGAAGCCCTGTAGTATCTTAATTTTCCCCAATGTCTGCATTATTTAAAATTTTAACTTCAAAAATATCATATATATCACATAAAACAACTTCTAGTTATTGAGATATACAATTAACGATGTGTTTAATGGAATTTAATAGGCGATTTCAAAAATTGCCTTTTTTTCAGTTTTGGGGACTAAACTCATGCCTTGTGCATGCTAGGCAAGAAAGCATTCTATAATTCATCTATAACCCTCCCCCTAACCTTAAATTGCTTTTATAAAATAAAAATGAAACATTTTATTGGTTACCTGAATTTTTTTCCAAAACATGACTGGAATTTACTGCTCTTTCTATGCATATACAATACAATCAATTTCTTAAAAATAAGAGCAATGAAGTTTCTAGCAACTATATTTTAAATATCCTTATAAATATGTCTCATTGTGTAAAGTTCTGTGAATGGATGAACTAAGATTAAAAAAAATAATGTGTTCAATGGATATGCATCTCTTTCCTTACAGTCAGAAGACATTGAATCACTGATTCCTAAAGGATTGTCAGAATTTACAAAACAGCAAATTCGCTATATTCTGCAGGTAAGATCTAAAAATAATAAAAGAAATACTCTATAGAATACGTGTTAATTTAGAAAACAAATTCCCAAACAAAAAGTCATATTTCATGGGATTAATTATACTTTAATTGCATTATAGTTTAGTCAGGCCATCAAAAACGAGTCCTGAGTGCTTAAAATTCAGAAAGTCAATCTAGAAATGTTACTCTCTGCTACAGAATGCCCTTATTGTTTCTTCAGTGCTTTAATACTCTCTGGCCCTAACTCATGTTCTTTGTTACTGTCTATTTCTTTGCAAATGCTGCACAATACTAACCCACACTAACACTGGTTGTAAGAAATGGAAAGGACAAAAATGCCTTGCATTTCCTAAGTTGTAGAAGGCGAAGGACCAATGGGACAGCAACTTCTCCCATGAAGAAAGGAGAAGCAATAGATGAAGAGGGCTACCTACAAAATGTGACTGAGAAGAAGAGTACATATATATTTGCAAGAAAATGTTCTAAAATAATTGAGTTTATCTGGTAATGCCAATGCCTGAGTTTGATATTTGTCCTTAGACATTTGTTAATCATCCAAGTATTGACCAAGAGGAAGTATTTTTCAGACTTAAATATTTTTAGAGGAACACAGTATTATAAAGAGGTAGTGATATGGGATACATACATAATTCTTAAAACTTGAATCTTAGAAGCATCCAGGATATTTTATCTGAGAAGATGATGTCCATCCAAAATGTGTTCAAAGGAAATAATAAGAGGCATTATGGTACCCATTGTTAATTTCCTACTATCTTGTTTTGAAGTCCTTTTATCACTTTTATTGTTTTCTTTTGTTTGGTTTTATTCTGTTTTGTTTTGTTGGATTCTATTATGGTATGGGCAGCTATTTTGAAGATAAGATATATTATGACAGATATTGTTTATTTCCCATTATGTTTTTGTGAAATCCTATATCACTTTCATTGTTTTGTTTTGATTGGCTTTGTTCTGTTTTAGTTTGTTTGGTTTTATTCTCTTTAAAATAAAATAAATATATTCAAAGATTCTTTCTTAGAACATTTTCTGAAAATTTTTACATGTAAATTCCTAAAAGACATTGATTTATAAATTTGTTCCTTTTTAAAATATAACTAATTTTATAAAAAGAATTGGGAAGTAGTTCTGCCTCTTCAATTTTCCAGAAAAGACTTTAGATTTACTACTAATTTTATCTTAAACATTTAGTAGAACTCCCCAATTGGGACATTTGTTTCTTGGGAATTTTGTAAAACTCTAAGTGCAAATCCTTCATATTTATGAGGCCATTTATATGGTGTTGTTTCATATGGTATGGTTTGTGGTAGCTTGTTTCTTTCAAAATAATTGTCTACTTCATCTAAACTGAAAAACCTATGATATGTATATGTGCCTAGTTGTTGATACTGTTCCCTTATTACCTTTTAGTTGATTGCAATATACAGTGCTAGTCGCTATTTTAGTTTGTGGTACTAATTATTTATGTGATTTATTTTTTCTTCAGTCTTATTAGAGGTTTATCAGTTCTAATAATTATTTTTCAAAGAAACGTATTTCCATATCATTGGTTTTCCCTGTCATTTTCTTATTTTTACTTTCATTGATTTGTTTTCAAATTGCTAAAAGTAGTAGATTTTTAATGTTCTCAACATGTGAAATGATGTTTCTTTCCTTCCTCTGCTTGCTTTTATTTTACTTTGTTTTTCTTCAAGTTGCTTGACATAGCAGCTCCAGATACTGCCTTCAGACTATTCTCATTTTACAATATAACAATTAGCGCTATAAGTTTCTCTCCTTTCACAACTTTTGCTATCCTGAAAAAAATTGTTGTGTTTTGTTTTCACTTTATTTCAGTTCTGTGTATTTTTAATTCCCTTCATTTCTAAATTCACTTATGGATTTTTAAAAGCTTATGGTTTAATTTTTAAACATTTATGGATGTTCCCTGTTGCTTTTTGTTGCTGATTTTTAGCTTGATGCCACTATGGTCAAAGAACATTCTCTAAATTCAAATAGTTTTAAACAGTTATTTTGCTTTATGAATTAGAATATGGTATATATAGATATATGTTCCAGGGCACTTGGAAACCATGTGTGCTCTATCAGATGGAACATTTATCAGGTACTGGTTCAATTATTTGGTTGTTGGTACTGATGAATATTTCTATAGTCTTGTTTTTCCTTGAGGCATTGTACTTTTTGTTTGTTTCATGTTGGTCTGTAATTTTTCAGTGAAGCATTATATGGTGGTTGTTTAAAACACTTGACAGAAAATTCTAATATTTCTGTTATTTTTATACTGCCATTTATTTGTTTTTTATTAGAGATTTTTCTTGTTCTTAGAATGATGTTTTCTTTTGAAAGGAAGGTATTATTGGTATCTTGTAACCTGCATATCGTCCTTTTTAAAAAGTTGTCATATATATATATATATATATATATATATATATATATATCATGCCTAATAAATACATTCATCCTGGTGAATTAGTGCATAAATATTATTAGGTTCTGATCCATTTATTTCCCTTTCTCATCTGCAATGTCTGCTTCCTTTTTTCCAATCATCTATCTTTTGTTTTCTCTTTAAATTATTTATAATTTGGGTTTTTTCAAATAGATACCTACAATATTTAACAACTTGTGTGTGGTTTATTTTACTTAGCATTATGAATTCAAAGTGTATCGATTTACCTAAAATTGACTCAAAGCTGTTCTTTTGTGTGGCTGAGTATTAATCTATTGTGTACATATGCATTTCTTTATCCATTTATGTGTTGATGGACATATAGATGATCTTCAAATTTAGTTATTATGAGTTGTGCTGATATAAACATAGATGGGTGTATAACACTGTAATATGTCTTTAAGTCTTTTGGAAATACACTCAGTAGAGGTATAGATAGATTGAATGCAACCTGTATTTTTCATTTTGTGAGAAATCTCCATATTGATGTTCATAGTGATTGTACTAGGTTACATTCCTACCAGCAATATAAAAGGGTTCCTTTTCTCACACAAGGTCGCCAATATTTGTTGTATTTTATTTCTTGATAATCACCATTCTTTCTATAGTAAGAATATCAATGATTTTTAGGTTTGCATTTCTCTAATAGCCAAAGATGTTGCACATTTTTTCATGTACATATTGTTTATTTGTACTTCTTCTGGGAAGTGTCTATTCATTTCAATGACATATTTTGATTGGGTCATTTATTATTTAGGGCCTATTTGTTTTACCTGTATATTCTAGCTATTCTAGATATTAATTCTCTAGATATTATTTCTCTCTTTCAGGAGTATTTGGAAAATTTTCTTTCCCATTTCTCTTCACTCTATTAGTTGTTTTCTCTAGACACTGTGTATAAAATTTTTAATTTGATATTGATTCTTGAAATTATTTTTGTACATTTGGGTTTCTTTTCAAAAATCCTTGCCTAAACCTATGTCTTCAAGAGTTTTGCCTATTTTTTCCAGCAGACTTAGTGTTTCTGTTCTTATACCTAGATCTTTCCTCCATTTTTACTTCATTTCAGTACATATTAAGAGATATGGGTCTAGATTTGTTTTTCTGTATTTAGATAACAAATTTTCTTACTGTATTTCCCCCAAAATAAGCCTTATATTAATTTTTGCTCCAAAAGATACAAGCCAAGATACAACATGGCTTATTTTCAGAGAATGTCTTATTTTTCATATATAACAATTTACAATATAGTCATGTAAATTTACATTTAATCATGTAAAACAATCTGCATTTATTCATTTACTCATGTACAAGAAAATCTACATTCATTCAAATACAGTCATGTCATATTCGGGAAAATTGTAATAACTCCCCAAACCTCAAATTCTGGCCTGAATTTCTTGCAACTCTATTTCCCATAGAGCTATTGGCCCAAATTCCTCCTGTCCAGGAATAGAGTGGCCTATATGAGCATTTTGTGTCCATGTAGCCTGCTCATAGTACATCGGGAACACAGCTGTAAGTGATTTTTATCTCATGAATTCTTCATCCAAATTACAGCATCTTGGAGGCTAGGTTTCACAAAGTGTCATTAAATCAAGTACTAACTGAAGAATTATGAGCTAGGAGTAGTAATAAAATCATGAAAGGTAAGAATAATAGTCCACACAAAATCATCCAAAATTCTAACCACAAAATTCAGAAAATGTTTATTTCACGTAAGTGCGTTAAGTACATCCATTACAACACACAGAGTATTGGATTGTGAAGATTCATGCTAGACACAACCATATCTATTCATTACCAAGTGCACATGTTATTCTTGTATTGTGTCTGTACTCTGGTTACCTGGCAATAAATCTCAAGTTCATCTGTTTAACAGAGTAGTTCACCTCTTGCCCAAAAGTACCCCCTTATATATTTACAAATACTTGATGGTAATCTGTATTGTAATTTAAGTATTAATGTCAATAATATTTATTCATATTTAATTAGATATTAAAATCATTATTTTATAATTCAGTACTTCCATCATGTGTTGCAGTAGACTTAATGCATCTGTCTGGCTGACGGTATTAAATGGAACATATTGGTAGGGTAGTGTTTATATCACAAGCATCCTAAACAACCATGCTAGGACTTAGTTTTCAGTGAGGTCTTATTTGCAGAGAAATACTCTTATTGCAGGGAAATGTTCTTTCTGAATATTTTTTGGTTGAATTTATGGAATTTTTATTATGATTGTGTTATAGAGAGTTCCTTTTCTGGTAGTGGTGATTTGGAGTTCTACATGTCTTTTATACTTGAATATTGAATCCTTTCTTTAGATTTGAACAATTATCTGCTTTTATTCAGTGAATAATTTTTGTAGCTTTTTAGTCATTTTCTAATTTTGCATTTATTTTTATAATTTAGAGGTTGTTTTTACCTTTTTCTCAGCTAGCAGCTATTGAATTCAGCTTCTATGTTTTCTTGTTGCTTTTCAAGATGCCCTAGAGTACATGACCTATTGTATCAATCTTGTCTTCAAGTTCCAACACTGTATTTTCACATTTGACATTCCTTGATACTCCATGCTTTCTTGAGCTTTTTATATTCTGATTTTCTGCTTGGTTTCTTTTCACAATTTCTAATTACTTACCAAAATTTATATATTGTATTATCTTGTTTAACTCAGTCAACATTATCTGTTTCTACTTTAACCTCACTGAACATTTTATTAACTAATTTCTGTTTACATATGTCACCTGTTGAATTTACATACATGTTTCTTCTTTGATCTCTCCAAACATTTTGACTATTTAGTATTTGAGTTCTTTGCCTGTAGCTGCTTCTACTTCCTTCTATTCTTAGAGAGTTAAGGAGTTTTGCAAATATCTTCTTACTTGAATTCTTATTTTTATATTGTTTTTGTGCCACAACTTGAAGATAATTTTGTGCAGAAACACTGTCAATACTATGGTGATGTCTTTGGTTAGATTCTTTCTCCATATAATGTTGGCTTTGGTGGTTTATACTTATCTTCAACTTACTTGATATAATATTTGAGAGTTTTCTTTGTGTCCAAACGTCTTCTATGGACTCAATCTCCAGCAACACACAGAAAGAAATAAACAAATTGCAGTAATATTGCTATCACAAAGGCAAATCAGATGTTGACATACAGTAAATACCAACTCCAACTATGCCACCATTAGCAATAGAAATCAGCAATAATAACAGTATCATGAACATACTGGATATTCATGCCATCAAAATTTATAAGACTACAACTATAACCTCCTTAATAATAGAAGAGGTCTGCAATAATAATATAGTTGCAAAGTCATACTAAATATTGACATATTGCAAATATCTTCTAAAAGCAATAACTATGTTACTGTTAACAATTATAAATCAGTGATAATAGCATAAATTAACTAAAATTCAATGTAGCTTTTAATGATCTCAACAATAAAAATGGAGATGATAGAGAATCAGTCATGCTGGGACTGGGAGGACCCCACCAAGAAGCCAACTAGACAGACTTTCTGGTAAGCCACTCAGTCCAGGGTGGGGGGGAGGGCAGGAAGAGAAAAGTCAGATAGCACCTCCTGTGAGCCTGTGGGCTGAGAATCAACACCCCCATGCCACTCCCTCAGAGCCCCTTGCACTCCCCTGTAAGCAACCAACTGGTTTAAAGGACAGGCTGAGTTGATAGCAACTGAGGTAAGGAAAGCAACTGAATGCTTGTATTGTTTAGTTGATTTTGCAGGCCTGGGCCAGTGGTCTAAGCGTCTGTTGGCAGATAATAGTATTTAGTATAGCAAATATGAAATTTCTATCTTGTTTTGGGGTCCAATATAGCTCTCACCATTTTGTTTTGTTCTGTTCTGATTGTTTTGCTTCATTCAGTGTTGCTCTGAGTGCTTTTATTCTGTTTTGTTTTGATTTGATTTTGCTGTACATGATGGAATGGACAACTAGTGTGAAGATAACAAGGTATACTATGGTAGCCATTGTTTTCTTAGTATCATGCTTTGAAGTTCTGTACTAATGTCATTGCATTGTTTTGATCAGTTTTATTCTATTTTGTTTTGTTAGATTATCTTATCTTTAAAATTAAATAAATAAAGTGTAGATGATAGGGAAGGGGGATAAAGAAGTAAAATTTGAAGAAGAAATGAAGATGACATGACAGAAGAAAGAAAAAATGTGATTAAAATAAATTAAGGACTAAAATAAGTAAATGGAAGTAAGTAAATGTAATAACTATAAGAAACAAGAAAAAGATCAAAGAGTAAAAGAAAAGAAACAACACAAACAGCAACACAACAACACATAAACCAAATAAACAAAGAAAAAGAGCAATGAGTTCAGAAATTGTTCCACATTGAGGTGTTACTTTCCAGATCCAATGGCATTAAAAATCACCAGCAATATGGGAGAGATAATGAGTCACACCTAGGCCTTATTGTTTTACTACACCCACATTTTGTTGTGTGAGTACTGAATCCTGCCCAGCCTTTCCTGCTAGGTGAGGTCATTGAGTGATGTGTGTTCTGCTGCAGGGCTGTATTCACTCCAGTGGCTATTAGTTTTTGTGCCAATCTGTGCCCCAAGCCACTCTTATCCCTAACTTTGTGGCCTTTGAACTTGTAAGGTGTCTCCATTTGTTCCAGTGGTTCCTTTCTTCAAATATCCCAGGATGTGACAAATGCCTAAGCCACAGTATATCCCTGATCGCCTTGTCAGATGGGGAACTAAAACAAACCACTGAGTTGTATCCCAGAAATAAGCATTGAGGGGGACCATGTGTTGCAATAGACTTAATCCCAGTACTTCCAGACTCACCCCACTTAGAAAACTACACATAGATGCCCTGGCTTCTCACCATGGAGGACAGGATCACTATATCCTCCAATACATAAGCTTGCTGCTATTTACTCTGAGGTGACCTAAGACTAGCTATCCTGCTCCTTACAAGTGTCTCTATGGGCATCTCCCCCCACCCCCAGTCAATGTGGTAGGGTGACTCAGAGACTGAAGTGTAGCTGTTCTATGACTTGTGATTTCTGGACCATCTTGGTCTTAAACAGTAATCCTTTCTCAAAATGGCCCTGATTATATCATTCCAAATGTTGTAAGCCTTGCAGTGAATTTCTTTCATAAGCCTGCCATGTAAGAAATGTAACTTACAGAGTAAAACCCCACATGCTATTTGCAGCTTACAATAACCATGAGCTTTTGTTGGAGTTATTACTGTTTGTTGATTGTTTATCATTAGGGCTGCCAACTCTTTCAGGGCTTACCTTATATTTGCTGAAGACATGTTTCCATTTCCAGGACCTGGGGGTTAGAATTTCCAGCTGCTTTTTTTTCCTCTGCATTGTTTTCAAGTTCTCTGGTTCCTTTGTGATTTCTTGCTTTCCTATCTACTCTTTATTGATTCCTATAGCACTTCTTTTCTTTCTCTTTGCTAACATTTTGTTTTTCAGGTGTCTCAATTCCAAGTGCTAGAGATAACAGCTTTTATTCTGTCATTTTTCTTTCATGGATATAGTTCAAATATTTTTTAGCAGGCCTTCTCTGATACTGAAAAATCAGAGTAGAGGCATTATCTCTTATGGCCTGCTAGAAGAAGTCTAGGTTCCCCTACTCAGCTTCTCTTGATAAAATAGAGTAAAACCCCAACCTCCCTTCATAGTATCAACGGACAGCAGTGCTTATGGTTTCATTTTTGCTCAGTAAAGATGAAATAACTATCTTTCTTTCTACTCTGCCTTTCCTGATACTAACTGGGTTAATGGTGTTGGTATGGCTCCTTAGACTCTAATTAAGGGGAAAATCTAGCCTTGTCTCTCAGCCTTTGATTATTTGAGAGTAGAGTTGACATTTTTTTCCTATGGTGTCTCACTGGAGTACTGTGGATGTTGTCTAAAAGTTATGTCTTACTAGACTGTCCTTTCATGATCATTTCTCTAGGAATAGAAGACTTTTATTGGGTCTTCTGTTCTCTGTTTTAATTGTTGTATTTGACTTCCCCCACACCAGTCTATAATATATAAAAAAAAATCAAGAGACTTATTATTGTGTCTTTCCTCACTTCTAAAGATCCTACTTGGTCCTCACTCTTTTCACCATTCTGAGACTTTTAATACTCATATATAACACATAAGGGGTATTTTTTGTATTAAGAGGGCTGTGGAAATGTTTCTTCTCCATTTTACTTAAGTTGAAGTTGTCTTTTAAAAGTATTTTCTTTAATTTTTAAAAAAAGCATTTCATTAAATGAGAATAAAACATTCCTCTCTCTCGTCTTTAAAATTACAGATGATTTTGTACTTCAAAGTTAAACTTGATTAGTATTATATTCTCCTCACCTTAGGCACAACCCATACCCTTGACTGCAAACTTAGGGAAATTTATTTTATTACTTGAAGTTTGACTGTCTCATCTACTCAAACATAATAAAGACTTTGTTGATGGAATTCTACCTCTTGAGAAAAATGATACTTTCTCATGAAAAATATAATAAATCCTTATTCTAAATATCTAGCTGTGATCTTTTTAGGAATATTGCTTGAATTACTTAAATACATTATCAACAAAATGCTTTGAGTCACATCAATACTATCATATCACAAATAAAACTGTAAATATGTTTGCTGGTAGAAACAAAAATAAACCAATCCACTTGAAAGTGATTTTCTGTATACTATATTACCTATTTTTAAATGCTAGTAAAGATAAGCTATCAGTTATTTTCTTCCTGTAGATGAGGAATATATCTGATAAGTCACTCCAGCTAATACTATCAACATTCAGTAACATAAGGGAGGAGCTTGGACATCTTCAAAATGACTTGACAGTAAGATTTATTTTGATTTCTTTCCAAATCTTTTCCAATTCTTAATTTCTTAACAGAAATGAACCATTTAATATACTTTTAAAAATTTTAATAGAGCATAAGATTTTTCTTACCGAGACATAGCCAATTTACTTTATTGATATAGTCAATTAACAATGAAACAGGAGAAACTGTCCATTGTGTAAATAAAATTATGTTGTTCATGCATTTATGATTTAGTTTAGGATGAAGGTGATTAATATTTAAATTCAGGGAATATCCTGCAGAATTAGAAAAATCTGTCTCATTGAATTGGAACTTCCCCCTTTTCTGTACAATTAAGCATATTCCTAACTTGTCACCAAACATAACTTGAAAAATTCTCTAAGAATTTATTCTTTTATATTTTATATTTTAATTGTTCCTGGAATCAACAGTTAGATATATTCAAAATACTTTCAATAAAATTAACTCCTTGAGAACTTTTAAGTGTTTGGGGGTATACTTTTATGCCTCTAATGAATACAGTTAAACTTTAACCTAAAAAGGCACTATCTGCTGAAATTAACAAGGAGTATTTATAAATAAACATTTAAATATTTCAGAAGATTTTGCTTCATTGAAATGAGTTATATATTCATTTCAATAGACAGTTTTAAAATTTCAATCATTTTAAAACTGTATCTTGCTTAGCTTTCAAGAATTCTGTTTTATTAAGGAACTACAAATGGGAAAAGTGTTTTGTAAATCTTTCATTGTAAACAAGTCTTTGTATGTATATTGGTAAGTTTCTATAATTGAGTCCTAATAAATAACATGCTTTCAGTCACTGGAAAATGACAAGATAAGACTTGAGAAGGACTTGGCATTCAAAGAATCTCAAATAAAAGAGTATGAAGAACTTTTAGCATCAGTGAGAGCAAATAATCGCCAGCAACAAGTAAGTTGATACATTTGTTGATGAAAAACTAGCTTAATAACTTTTTATATGTACAGTCACTTGCATATTATAGTTTAGAGATTCAATTCATATGGAATTTAAACATGATAAAACAATGTGTTCATATGAGAAATGACTAGCTTTAGGTATTTCCAATGACTAGTAAACTTACATACTTTAAATAAAAATATATGCAATCACAGGTATTTCTATTGTTGGGTAATGATAAAAATTACATCAACACTGAAAATCTAAATTCAGTATTAGATAATGTAGTACTGTTTTAATTAAAACAGCATTTATAGATTTTAACTTGTGTATGTATCATGAACAATAAATTAATATATGAGCTCTAATGGAGTCTTCCAGATTTCTGAATAGAGATAATTCCTAGAAAATTGTAAAGAATCACTAAGGATCACCCCTTCTTAATCTTCACTCTTATGACTGTCCTGAATTCTTACTTAGATGCTAGTTGTCACATGTGTACCAGGCACATGATCTTTTTTTTGATACCTACAATATTGTCAAATAGTAGTAAGAATCTGAAGGCTAAATTGAAACACTGAAAACTAGCTCATATTGATTGCTTCTCACATAAGATAGTGAAACGAGACTAAGGGCGAAACTAATATATTACATGACTGATTTAACATAAAAGCTAAAACTAAGAATGTAAGTAAATGGGCATGTACAAATATTTGCTTGATTTTAATGAATCAATCAATTAAAAGAGCACTCCCCTCAAAAGATAAAATGCATTTGTCTTTTGTATTTGTGTCTTCCTTACAGCAAGGACTTCAAGATTCAAACTCAAAATGCCAGGCATTGGAAGAAAATAATCTTTCTCTACGACATACACTGTCAGATATGGAATACAAATTAAAAGAAATGGAGTATTATAAATGCAATTTAGAACAAGAGAATAAAAATCTTAGATTTCAGGTATTAAAAGTTTGTTTTAAATATGTACTGTTGCTTTAATTCTATCTTTACAATTCTAGCATTGGCACTAGTTAAAATGTATATCTAATAGATATCATCAGTCTTTTTGTGAATATATATATATATTTCATATTTATCTTGAAAAGGGCAAAGATTTCTTTCAGATGGCCTCACATATGGTTCTTCTACTGATATTTGAATGATATGTAAACAGATTCTGAAAATTTCTCTTATTTTAATGTCATTTAATCATGTGGTTTCTGTGTTATTAATTAACCTTTGTAACATAGTATTTATTTTCTTCATATCAATACAATTACAAAAAGATATTTTGTCTTGTATAGGTTTCTGAGACTTGCACAGGCCCAATGTTGCAAGCTAAAATGGATGAAATTGGTAAACACTACATGGAGATGGTCAAAAACTTGAGACTAGAGAAAGACAGAGAGATCTGCAAGTTAAGGGTATGTTGATCCTACATTGTATAAATAATAGCTCAACAAAGACCTGATAGTTATAAGTTTAAAGCTATGAGGAAAAGTAATGGAGTTTTAGGAATATGTTGTAGAACACTTTGTTTTAAACACATGTTACTGCTGTCTTTATCTATCAGGTAGGAAATTAAGACATTACTTTCATTGCTTTGTGTTTTTTATAAATTTACTTTGTGAGAAGATAGAGAAACCTTTATGATCATGATTAAACCATGCATATGTGAACAAGAACAGTATTAAAGATTATTCAGCAAAGCCATAACTTAATTCATAAAAATCCTTACTTAACTTTGAGATAGGATAAATCTCAAGGGCTTTGTCAAGCACAAGGGTAACAATAGGGTTAAATTTCATGTACTTGTAACTGGTATCAAAATTAGAGTATTTTAAAGGATAAGCATGTAGTACTTTACCTTGTAACCATTTGTTGGGCCGACTTAGTATAACCCTTAATTTATTGATCGCTAAATATACTTACATACACTTAACTATTTTAGTGGACCACATGATTGTATTAGTCAGTGTTCCCATTGCTGGATGCAATATCCAACACGTAGAGTTTAAAGAGAAAATGTGTAACTTAGCACGCAGTTTGGAGAAATTAGTCTATTGTCAGCTGACTTTCAAGGAGGAATATCATGCCAAAAGGGCATGGCAGAGCAAAACTGCTTTGTTCATAGGGGCTGAGGAACAGAACGGGGGAACAATGCTAGAGAAAATCAGGTGAAGGACCATTTATATGACTCAAGGCCATACCTCCATGATCCACAACCAAGACTTTTCTATACTAATCTGCTACGTGTTTCTTAATCTAACAAATTTGACATATCAGATGACAATGATAAAAGATTTTTCTCTCCAAATATCAGTTCACAATCTTTTTCAATGAATAAAAATGAAACAAAATATAATTTGTTAAAAAGCATATTGATTTTTTAACCAGATTTCTTCTACTGGTTTACTCTTCATCACAACTTTATTAATAGCATTCTAATTTAACTGCCATCTGTGTGTACATACATGATGAAGAGAAAGGTTGAGAAGCTTTGTAGTCAGAACACCTGTCTTATAGTTGCAGATTTGTTATTAGGTAATTCAGTGTTCTTTAACCTCTGAAATTCAGTTACCTCTTATAAACAAAGATTATAATATTGCTTATTTCACAAGGATGTTATGAGTACTGAGACAAGTCAGACAGGAAGAATAATTTGTGAACTGAAAACCACAGGAAAATACCAGTATTAAAATGTCAGTATACAAAGGAATCTGAAGTTCCTGTTTTCTTAGCTTTATTTTAATTATTGGACTGCAAGACTATTTCTTAGATAATAGTTTCAAATAGTAAGGGTGCCTTTCAATATAAGAATTTCCTAACTGATATTATAATTCATAAAATTGTATAGAAGTTTATAATTCGTGGTACTTTGCTTTTCATTTCATCATTAGCTGTACTTTGTGTTAACCAAGCCACACTGGAATTTAATTACATTTTCGTCAATAAGGATTATAATAGTACTTATTTCTTTCTAAATCCCTAGTCCCAATTAAACCAATACCAAAAAGATGTTTCAAGAAGAGAAGGAAGCTGTAGTGACTTCCAGTTCAAGCTTCATGAACTGACAAGCTTGCTGGAAGAGAAGGATTCTCTCATAAAGCGTCAGTCAGAGGTAAGAAAAGAAAGAGGGAGAAGAAAACTAACGCAACTCAGCACTGTAAGAAAAATACTTCCTCTGGACTAGAAAAAGACACATTTCCAATACATACTTTATTATATGACAGTGTCCTGAGATTTATATTTCAGAAGAGATAATTCAAATGAAATATGAACTTTAATCAAAAATTAAGTGCTATTATACTGCGCTTATTCATTACTAGTAAAACTCCCCATAATCCTGTGAAGCACTTAATATATTATGAGCTGCTTCACCAAAGAACTGCATTAGATTTCTTCCTGTGTCTGCAGCATATAGCCTAGCATCTGGCATATGATAAGTACTGAAGGAACTACCAAAAGTGATGGGTAATATATTACTATTATTGAATAAATGGTGCTTAGAATTCATATTTACCGATCAACTTCTGTTATGAAGCAACAGCTGCTTCCATGTTAAAGTTTTGATACTTTTATATTTTTTATAACAAAAACTTTCACACCTTTATTTTGGGAACTATAACTTTGGTTATTACTATTACTTGAATGCTTTCACTTTAGTTAGTGATTTCCCCTAAACTCATATAAATTCCTGAGTACTGTAGAGAATCACTATATTCTATTTAACATTTGGTATTCAAACACTCACCACAAGGCTAAAAGTGAAGGGATTAGCAATTATCAGTAACCTTGTTAAGTTATCAAATATACTTCTTACCCTCATTTCTACATTTTTTCAAGTGATTTTATTGTCTTTTATTCATAAGGAACTCTCAAAGTTGAGACAAGAAATATACTCATCTCATAACCAAACCTCCAGTGGTGGAAGGACTACTATTACCACCAAAAAGTAATGTATTTTTTAAATAAAATTAAATATGATTTTTATTGTATAATTTAAGTCATTGTACTTTTAATTGACAAATATATAGATGTAGATACAAATATAGATACCACTACACAGACTTTGGTATTTTCTACTAGCTGGTAATTCTACTAAAGAATAAATACTCATAGTACATTGCTATTATGTTAAATACAACCCTGTAACTACCTTTCCAATACTTATACTGTATTAGATACTAAAGAAGTTAAAATAAGTAACTGATGCTTTATCCAACCATATTAGGTTGAACTTGCTGAGTTGCACATGATGACACCCAATTTAAACTAAAAATTAGTAAATTTACTTAGTGGTAGTTGCTTAATGTTCAGATGATGTGTGTGCTCTAAATGGGTCTCATAATTTTTTCTATATATCTTGGCACTGCTCTTTGCTGGGTAAACATCACTGTCAGACAGTGGCCTCTCACCAATAGTGACATAACTGCAGCTTATATTCTAGCAAATTTACAAAACAAATAAAAACTATGTTTTGCATATGTACCAACTCCCCAGAGTGAAGGTAATCATTATGTACTCCAGGCATGTACTAATAAAAAATTAAAGAGTTTCAGCAAATGTCTACATTGCATATTTCATGTAAATGTAATAATTGTAACTTTATTTTGCATTTTCAAGATGTGTGTGTGTTTTAGCATATGCCAGCACTTCACTCTTTTCACTGCTAATAATACCCCATTTTATAAATATACAATATTTTATCTATTTATCAGGTAATAAAAATTTGCATTGTTTTTAATTTTTGGCTGTTATGAGTAATACTACTCTAATTACATTTCTACAAGTTTATGTAGGATATGCATTCATATTCATTTCTTTTGAGTATATACCTAGGATTTGGGTATCTGTTTTGCCTGTTGTTGGCAGGAAACATGATAACTCAACATTTAACTTTCTGAATAACTGCCATATTGCTTTTAAAAATAGCTGCACCAGTGGACATCACCATTATCAGTGAATAGAGTTTTAATTTCTCCCCAGCCTGGTTAACATTTGTTATTATCTCTTTTGTATTTAACCATCCTAAGTGGTGGGAAGTAGTATCCCATTATAGTTTTGATATTTATCTCCCTCACAATTAGTTTTAGTATTTCATCATATGCATTTTTCCATTTATATCTTTGAATAATGTTTATAAAATTTCTTTAATTGGGTTGTCATTTGTTAATTTTCATAAATCTTACATCTTCAATACAAGTCTGTTATCAGAGATATGATTTGAAATCTTGTTTTTTTTCATTCTATGGGTAGTTAACTGTTGTAACAGTCATTTGCAGCACAAGTTTATAAAACTTAAGTAAGTCTAATTCATCTATTTTTGGTTTAAACTTTGATATCATATGAAAGAAAAAACTGCCTAAGCCAGGCCATAAAACTTCATAGCAAGGTTTATGTCTAAGAGTATTATCATTTTATGAGATTTAGATCTATGTTCCACTGTTACGTATTTTGTGTGATATGAAGTTCATTCTTGTGTATTGGGATATCCAGTACAAATTGAGGAATTTGCTATTTATTTCTCTACTATGTTGATTTGGTATACTTCTCTAGAGTTAAATCACTTTAAATGTAAGGACAAATTTTCAGACTTCAGTTTTATTCTTTCATTTTGTCTTATAGTAATCTCTACAATGTTTTGAATAGCATAGCTTTGTAATACATTGTGAAATTATAAGTATGAGGCTTCATGCTTTCATTCTTTCCAAGATTGTTTTGTCTGTTATTGGTCCCTAGGTTTTCCATATTAATCTTAGGATAATTTTGTTAATTTCTATAAAAAGTGCATCTCAGATTTTTAGGAATTTCATTGACTATGCACAAAAATTTAGGTCACATTATAATCTTAATACTAAATCTTCTGATGAAAGAGCATGGGACCCTTTTCCACGTAAGCCTCTTTAATTTTTTGTTTGTTGTTTTATGTTTTGATTTTGTTTTTCCTTTTTTCTTTTTTATAGTGCTAGGAACCAAACTCAGGACTTTACATATGCTAAGTAAACACTGTATGACACCCTCAACTTTATTGTCTCAAGGCCATTTTATATTTAGTTTTCATCGCATAAGTGTCTTAGTTATTTTCTCATTGCTAGGACAAAATATCTGACACCCACTAGTTAAGGAAGGAAAGTTTTATTTTAGTTCACAGTTTGTAGAGGTTTCAGTTCATAATCTGGCTCTAAGGCAGAGTGGCGTGGCAGAGGAGACAGTCCATGCCAGAGAAGGCAGCAAGCAGCAACAAGTTTTCCTTTCTTTATCTCATCCAAACTATAAGACAATTGGATAGTGCCACCCACACCCAGGTTAGGCCTTCCTATTATCCACACCTAGAACTGCACTAAACCAAGTAGAGGCCTAATCTATTTATCATACCCCCATGATCCAGGTACTGGATCCAGTATCACATACCCATGACTCAGGTACTCACAAAAGCTTCACTTAGGAGCACATGAAGCTTTAAGAGACATTTTAGCTATAAATCATTAAAAAATCTTAAAGTCCTTATGCTAAATTATTCCTAAATATTGTACTTATTAGTTTTTAAACTTTTATTAGTACATAATGATTGCATTCATTTGGGGAATTGGTGTATATACCTAACATATATTATTTTTATTTTCCTTTTCCTTTGTCCCTTTCCCTTCTATCGCTAGATAACCTTTCCATTTGCAAAAGATCTGTATCCTGTTTCCTATTATCTGTCTTATTTTTGTCCTTTAAATTATAGGATTTTCATATAACAGAAGCCATGTAGCATTGAACTCGCATGCGTGATTTATTTTGCTTAACATTATGGTCCCAAGTTACATGCATTTTCCTAAGTGACTTGAGTTTGTCTGCATGTATCACTAGTACAATGCCTTTCACTATTTCAGAAAGATACCTAGAAGAAGAACAGTTGGGTTGAATGTCTCCTTTTAGTTTTGTGAGGAATCTCCACCCTAATTTTCATAACGGTTGTACTAATTACATTCCCGCCAAAAAATGTAAGATTTCATTTACTTTGCAGCTTTATCAGCATTTGTTATAATTTAATTCCTCGATGAAAGCCATACTTGCTGGAGTAAGATGAAATCTCAATATTGTTTTCATCCACATTTTAGTAGCTGCAAATGTTGAACTTTTTTCATGTATTAATTTGTCATTTGTATCATTGTGAGAAGTATGTGTTCTTTCCAGTTGTCCAGTTTTGGATGGCTTTTTATTTTGAGGGGTCCAATATTTTTGTGTTCTTTATATATTCTAGATATTATTCCTCTGTTTGAGGAGCAGCTGCCAAATTTCTTCTTTATTCTATACATTGTTTCTTCATGCTATTGATTTTTGCTAAGAGAAAGCTTTTCATTTTTTTATGTCTTAGTAAATAAAATTATTATATTTATTTTCAGAGTGTTAATTACAAGTTATAGGACTGCAATTGATATTTTGTGTTCATCTTTTTTCAGCAATTTTGCTGAAGTCATTTGTTGTTTATAATAGTTTCTTATCACACTTCTTTAAATTTTTATATCATTTGCAAATAATGACAGTTTGACTTCATTTTCTATCTGGATTCCAGAATTTTATTTATTTTTGTTGCCTAATTTTCCTAGAACCTTCAGTGGTAAATAGAAGTGGTCAAAGTTAATACTTCTTTTTTTCTTGGACTTAGGGGAAAAATGCACTCTTTAACTATTAAATAATGTTACCTGTGGTCTTTTATCAAGTTGAAGATGGTCCTTTCTAATCTTAGATTATGGAACTATTCTAAATCACAAAACTGTTTCAAAATTTTTCTGATGCTTTTTATATACCTATTTAAATTATCAAGATTTTTGTTTTTTATTAACATGATGTATGGCAATCTTGCATTCTTTGAAATAATATCCATTTGTTCATAATGTATAATTATCGTTATGATACTGCATTTGAAGAATTCTGTTGAGAATTTTCTTTCCATATTCATAAATGACCCATATAAAGTTTTCTTGTGACATGTGTGATCAAAATATACAACAAATGTTTAAGTAAAAAATTACAGTAAAAGACACATAGCCATTGACCCCAAAAGTACTTTTCCACACTTTGAACACACTTATCCCATCATTCTTGCCACTTTTGAAGCAGTTTTAGAACTACTCTTTCTTAGAGGTCTTTACAAGTTATGAGAAAAAAAATACAGTGAGTACTGCTGCTTAGTGACATCCAACTGAAAGCAGGCTTCTAAAACCAGTACAGTATGTCCTAATCAACTTTATATTATGGATCTGTTGTTATGAATTTAGGACCTTACCTGAAGTGAAAATGACTATGAAGTTAAGCATTGTGAATGGAATCAGGACATTGAGGCAGCCTAGAGTGGGTAACAAAAGACACTAAAGAAAATGACTTCCAGAACTGTCTAAGAAAGTGAGAATGATAGAATAAGTATTTTCAAAATCTGTTTAATGGCTCTGTGTCTTTTACCGTAATAAATTTTTAACTGAAACATTAACCATATGTTTTGATCATGTCTCTTATTTTTTTCTGATTTGGTTTCAGGGTAAAACTAGTTTTGTGCAATGAAAAATACTTCTATTCGGAAGAATTGGTATCAACTATTCTTTAAGTGTCTGATAGTATACTAGATGGAGTTATTTGAGCCCAGACTTTATAGAATTTTTTAAAATTGGTAAATTTAATAATATTACTTATTACACATGTATATAGTGGATATGTACCAGGTAGATGCCTGAAGCTTCAGATAGTATCAAAACTATATTTACTAGGTTTTTCCTGCTCATTCTTTCCCTAGACCTTAACATCAGCATATTATTTTGGCTTTTCCCCTTATTAAGTTCAGAGTTTAATCTTTTCTCTTAAACAAAACTTATCTTTCTTTTTTGAATATCTCAATTGCCAAATTGCTACTTTTATAGCTTGGGCCCATTATGAATAGTGGTACCATGACAATTGACACAACTGAGAACCCACTAAGTTACTAACAGGTAAGTAACATACAGATATGACAAGAATACGAAGGCTGATTCACATCCCAAAGAGGAGCAGGACAGCAGAAGATTTCATTATCTTACTCAGTGCAGTGCAAAATTTAAAACTTTAGAATTGTATATTCCTGGAATTTTCCATTTACTACTTTGTCTATTTTACTGTCTGATTTTCACTACATCTGATGAGAACTATCCTGTTATCCTATGAATTTTTCCCTCCTTGAGTACTCTTCTTTTCTGTGGCTCTTTGTAGGATTCTCTACCACTGCCTTTTAGCAATTTGAAAATGATATATCCTGCCATGGTATTCTTCATATTTATTTTTCATGAGGTTCAATTAACTTATTGGATCGGTGTGCTCCAGTTATTAATCAAATTGGAAAATAATTCAGTTATTTCTCCGTGTACTTTGTTTCCTGCCACTCTATGATACACACACATACGTATACATAGAGGACGTGTACATATAATGTATGTAATAATTCTCCATAGATAACTCAGGCTAAGTACTATTTTTCAGTCTTTTTTCGTTTTTAGATAATATCTCGTGATATCTTCAAATTTACATATTTTTTCTGTAATACCTAGTCTGTTAACCCCATTCCATAGTTTTCTTTAGAACTCCAATACATTGCTTTTTATGTTCTCCATTCCTTTTCTCATTGTGCTAATACTTTTCTCTTGCTTCTTAAATATACATTTTATATTCATACATCTCTACAGTCGCACTTTTTATCAGTGTTAGTTTTTGGTCTGTTTCTACTTATTTTCTCTTAATTATTCGTCATGTCTTCTTGTTTCATTGTATGATCACTAACATTTAATGAAATTCCACATATTAAGATTTTATATTACATGCTGGACATTTTTGATATTATTTAAAACACTTGAAGATTTTAGGATAAAGTGAAGCATTTGTGTTTGTCTTCTGTAATACAAACACACTAAATAAAAATATGTATTAATAGTAACTTTCAAATAATTTAACAAAGTCTGATTTCATAAACTGTAATAACCACGCAGTCTGATGCTAATTTCATCCTACTACAAAAGCAGTAATTATGTGTTGTCTATGGGATGCCCTCTACATTAGGTTTTTTCACTTTGGTTAGTGGAATGCAAAACTTTACCATTCCTAGGTGAACTCAATATATTGTCAGTCTGCTCCTTTCTAATCTCTGTTTAAGCTTCGATAGCTTCTTCACATACATATGTTGATCAGCTATACGAAAGCCTGCATAGGCACTCTTCAACTTGTGGTTTTCTCCTTATTAGGCCCAGCAAATTCTGATTGTTTTGGGTATCTTTGCTATAAACTGTCTGCTTAATTTCTGAGAGTTCCAAATTGTGTGATTTTCCTTTTTCTATCCTGTAATCAAAAAAATCTCCAAGCAGAGAGCTAGGAACTTGTAGGCTTCATGTCATTTACTTTCCCATCTCTGGTATCCCTATCCTGTGCTTCCAGTGAACCACAATGGCCAGAAGCAGAATGTCCTCCTCTTATTACTGCTCTTTAAAAATAATGGTAGTAAATCACTGTCTATTATGCGAGGATATTTTTTCGAGTTTAAAATCATTCAGAAGCAAATTGATTTAATAACAGGACTCTGATGCCACCTGTAAACACTTTCTTATATACAGGTACAGGACACAGTATCCAATCCTAGGCCTCCTGTATGATGACTATGAATATATACCACCAGGCAATGACACACAGACAATTGTGATTGAGAAAACAGAAGACAAATGGACTTGTGTAAGTTTATGTGATGTTTAGTCTTATTTTGACTACATTTTCTCCTTTAAATATTGAGGTAAAATATCAAATGTCATAGGCAGTTACGAAGACGGGATAGAGATATTTTAATAGAATTTGTCTTGCAGTCTCCACTATTTCAGTATTTATAATTATTTTAGACTCTTGAAAGAAGAAAAGATATGTGTTTATTTTTTAACTAGTTTGTAAGATCCTCCACCTTTAAATCTTAATTTGTAGTCAGGCTACTGAACAGGTATTTCAATGTCATGTACTCAAAACATCCTTGAAGATGAACAGACAATATAGATTTCAACATCTGTTTTCTAAGTATTTTAACCCATTATTAAGGAACTGGTTATTAAACCCTTCTTATAAAGGATTGACAGATATTTTCCTAAAGCTCTTATGGATTAATTTACTAAGGTAGTGATCATCAAAGAGTAAATGTGTATTCCTTAGCAAAGTAGTTCTCTCCAGGGGTAATTTTGTCCCTGGTACACAATTCCAAATGTTTGAAGAAAATTTTGGTACTTATAAATAAGAGGTAGGTATATAGGCATTTAAGGGGATATAGGCCAAGACTGCTGCTAATCATTCTACAATGTGGAGGATAATTCCTGATTAAGAATCATCCTGCTCAAGATGTTAATAGTGCTGAGGCTGAAAAATCTTTTGAATACAACAAAAAATTTAGTTTTTCCTAATTATATATCCCTATATGTGTCTTGGAGATTCTAATAGTAATCCAGTGAGATCATAGGAATGTACAATATCTCTCTGGTGCAATGGATGAACAAAGGTTGGGAATTCCAGCTCTCAAACAATACACAATCTAATTTAAAACATTGTGAAAGTAATACGTATTTTGTTAAAATTCCTACCTATCAAACTACTTAGGTACTAAAAGCAGGCAAAAATCAACCTATGATCATTACAGTAAATAAATGGTTATTGTTAGAAAGTGAGCACAGATTGCAAAGGAAGTATAAGGGCATTTTGGTTACTAATGATACTGTTTTCTGAGCTTGGTGATGGATGCAAATGCATTGTTGAATTTTTAAAATTTGATTAGTTAGGTGCTTATCATAGGTACTTTTACTACATCTTTATTCTACTTCAAGATATATACTGTCACAATATGTAACTGATAAATATGCAGATGGTGATCAAAATTCTGTAGAACCTTTTGAAGAAATATTAAAATTGCATTGTTAATGTCTATTAATAAAATTAAGCATTTGTAAAATAGCTCACTTTAAAATATCTTTTGATTAAACTCTCTATGAGAAATATTTTATCTTTGAAGCCCTTCCATAACTATAATAAAGATATCAATTTGTACAATATATTTGTCCATCATTAGTAGAAGCAAGCAATTAGTAATAACCCTAAAACAAGAACATTTATGTAATTTGATATTTACAACGCTGTTTTTCTTAGGTCATCAATTAGTTGAGTGATACTTGGTACTAATTATCAACTGCTAAGGGGTATCTGTAGAGCCAAGAATGACATTAGTGGCAAAATTTAAAATTTGTCACTCAGGAATGATTTCATGCTGAAATTCAAGACTTAAAAACAATTACTGTCTCTTAACCATATGTGTCCTAGAAGTGACAGCAATGTTAGAGACTCCCAAATAGTGAGTAGCAATTTCTTCTCTATCCACTAAAACCTATAGAAATAAACATTAAAATTGATAAGCTTGAGAGGAGATATAGAAAGTTCAAAATATATTTAAATTCACAAATTATAGAGCCATATTTATTATTAAAGACCTTAGGCCATGTATTTAATTTCTAAATATGACATAAAGGATGAAATGTATTCACTCTTCCCTCCTTGTCATTTAAGTGTAAAGTATATAGCTCGACTAAAGTCAGAGAAATCATTGTTTCAATATCATATCAAAGTACCACAAAAGCATGTTCCCTTTGTTTTTATATGTGTCAATCCAAATAATTTTCTGTAACTGTGTACACACATTAACAATATCTTTATGAACTAATTGTAACATAAACTTTTTTTTCTTTTCTAGCCATGAATGGAACCACTTTAAACTTTCACAACTCAGAGGTGGCTTTCTCTGTCTACATTTTGTATTTTAATTATTAATTTTTCTGTTGATAAAGGCTAATCAGATTTTTTAACCATACCAGTACTCAATGAATCAAATGGAATGACTAAATTCGGCAGATGAGTTGTTCCAGTTTATGAGAACTGAATCTTTTCTGCAACACTTATGTATTTAGTATACATACAAACCAAAAGAGTAACCTGCTTGCTTAAACTTTGATTGGAGACACTGTAGAATATAACCCACAATTTTTCACATAGGTTGCTTTCTAGGTATTGAACTAAGTTATAGAAGATAGAGACTATATGTTATTCAGTTGGGAGATTTTCTTTGATGTGAGATGTGCAATTCTGCTGCAGAATTTAATAGTTTTAACAAAAAGGTAAAAAGCAATTGAAAAAGTAGTTCAGTGCACTACATATATAGTCTAAATTTGTTTTTCTCATATTAAGCCTATGACTAAAAGAAGATATTTTGTTGCATGTGGTTTACAGCTCTTGAAAATGTAACTGTATCAAAGGTGATAGTTAATTTCACTTAGCAGGGAAGTGGGATATCTTTTTAAATAACTAAATCCACTAAATTGTACATTATGCTACCTGGTTCTAAGTACATATCAGCCCCTTGGCAAATCTGTCATTTCATAGCACACTTGCTCCCAAATTAGTCCACTCACATCCTTAAAAGCACGTAACATTATATTGTAGTATTGGACAGAAATAAGGTAGACTTTTTCATAGTGTTATACAAATATAACACTGAAATACTGTATAAATATAAAGGCTTACTGAATAAATACAGCAACAACACATATTTGATAGCTGTATCAAATTTGAAAGAAATATTTTATAATATTTAATGTACTCAGAATTTTACCAAATGGGCTGTATTACTGTATGGAGTAAATAGAAATATTTCTTAAATATATTACAAGGATGAAACTTTTAAAAATTTCTTCCTGTGGCAATTGAGAAGTCAGCACATTGCTGAATCATTTGAGCTATGGATAGGAATAGATGCTTATGGAAAAGTCCCTAGCCTACCTAACCTTTTTTAAAAATGCATACAAAATTTAGTAGTCCAGAGTACTATATTTTTTTTGTCTTTTTGTTTTTTATCGGTACCAGGGATCGAACTCACGACTGCCTGCTTGTAAAGCAGGCACTTATGCCACTGAGCTAAATCTCCAGCCCCCAGAGTACCATATTTTAAAAATACATGTTTGTTTCCAATTTGTGATTGAGATCAATAGAAAAGTAATGCTGTCTTTTCCTCTTACCAGTTTAAGGCAGCTTATGTATGAAAACTGCAAAGATATCAAATGAGGAAAGCTTGTTTACCTAACTTCTATCTTGGTGTTTTCACTTCAAACTTGTCAAATAAAATGGAGACAATAATGATATGCAAAATAATTTGTTTATGTGTCTAAATACATTAAATATCTGCATGGTTTTTGTAGAAGCTGAGGCAGCAAGTATACAGATGAATTTTGAATTTTGCTTTCTATTTTCCTAAGTTACTATCATGTGAGTATTTATTTTGTAACAAGCACCACTGTAATAAAACATTTAAAACAAACAGCATAAGGACTTCCTGATGTAAAACACTACAAATGTCATTTAACATAGTTTAACCTCCAGTTGACTCAGCCCTCTGCTTTCAATTAGATTTTCTTTGGTTAAAAATCTAGTTTTCTATGTTCTGTAACTCACTTATTTCAGGCATAATTTCCCACAATTCATTCTTCCCATCTCTGTATTGATGTTTTATCTGTTACTTTTTCTTTTTTTGGTACTGGGGATCAAACTCATCACCTAGAGCTTGCCAGGCAGGCGCTTATGCCAAGCTGAATCCCTAGCCCCTGTTACTTTTTCTTAACATAGGCAGTACAAAAAGAAAAAAATAAATCTTTAAAAATTGTAACTCTATGTCCAATTTAGATCACTTTAACAAAAACTCATCATCATATCTCTCCCACTTTGCAAGCTACAAAGATGTTTCTTTTGAAAGTAAATATGAAAATATTTCCTCAGATGGTATATATTCCCTATCACAGAAAATTATTAAGCTTACTCTTTTTCTATAGTACTTTTTGTGTAATTAAAAATACAAATTATTTCATATCCATGCTAGGATAAATAGTAAATAGAAAATAAATACGGAACATAATGAACACATCTTTTTAAATAAAATATTTATTCCAGAACAAGATATACTGTCTGTTTAGTCTGCAAAGGCATAGTGGAATTGTTACCTACTATAGTTACATGATAACCAATATCAATTTATGACAGTTTGGGTAATCTTGGATTCATCTCTTGTAGACAATGAGATGGTAAGCCCATGGTCTTGAAATTTATATTCTCATTGTACCATGCTAAAATAATACTTTTGTCACTGAGGTGTGTTTCTGAAATCCTTTATGTTAAGAGGCAGCCTTTGTAAATTTTCTCTGAATCCACAGACCACTTATGAAAATAGTATTGAATATCCCTTACTTATACATGCCAAGATCCAACAAAGCAGACCAGTTTCTTAAAATAGGAGTATAATCTTTTTGATACAATTCACTAAAGAGGTCTGATGACAGTCATGGTATAATTGAGGAGGTTTTCAATATAGCAGTGATGAACATTTTAGAGCTTTCAATCATACAAATAGCCCAATGTGGCATGAATGTCATAGACTTGCCACTGCTGATCCAGGATAACAGCATTTTGGATCCAGGTAAAAGTATAGGAAGTACTTTAGAGGTTAAATGGTATAATGTCAATATTGCCAGTTGGTTCAGATTTTAAAATGGAGCAGGAATCTTTGGAGTTACTCGGGAGATGTTCAAAGAAAAAGGCATAATAAAATTTGGAACAGGCACATGAAACATTTATAGTGCTAGATAGAGCCTTGAACCCAGCTATTACATTATCCTTAAATATTTTCCTTTCTGTCATGCCTTAAGCTATTTACAAGTGACAAGTAGACAAAACTGTCTGCTTGGACGTAACAGCCCTAAACTGTTCTGGAAAAATGATTCTCCATTAATTTCAATTTATTGTCTTTCTCGTGAAGGTACTTTGAACTGCAGTTCTACATTTTTAGATGGAAGCTATCATGCACATAAGGAAAGTTTGCGCCAGTAAAATTATAATTTTAAGGTAGTACTTCATTTGTAACTTGAACTGGATTCATGTTTTACCTGGGCTGAAGTTTTCTAGGCCTAATTTCTAAGAAAATCTGTCCACTTTTATCCTGCTCCAATGTAACCATGAATAACAGAAATGACATCTTAACATAGATCTCTGTGTCCTTCAGAAATTCTGCAATGCATTCTTCATCTAGCCTCCAGAGTCATCTTCAAAAATATAAATAGTAACATATTACTCTTTTCTCAAAACTCCTAAAAGGCTTTGCACTTTAAACTTCTCACAGGTCCTAACTCGTTTCAGACCCTCACAGTTATTCACCGAAAGCTTGTTCCTTTCCAGCTATTTATATTTATAGATTTTTCTGCCCTGGTCTTCCACAAGAACTTTATGTAACTAGCTCCTCTTTGCCACTCAACTCAAATGACATACTCTCTAAGGATTGCCTCTATCTACTCACCCCTTCTTACTTGTTTAAGTAGAAACACAGAAGTATGCCAGAATTACACAGAGTGCTTTGTTTTAACATACTCATATGGTAGCAACATGTGTAAATTTGCTGGAAATGCAAAATTGTAGGCACCACAATTGAATTAGAATATTCATGTTAGTTTTCCAGATAAATTACACCTGAGAACTACTAATCTTAACATGTAAATCTAATAGGTTTCTTTTTGTTTGGTTAATGACTCTTTTTAAAGAATAATTCAATTGACAGATTTTAACTAATAGTTTTATGTATCTAGTAATATGAATTTTATTGAAGGCTGGTTAACTGAAACAATCTTTCCTAAATACTGCAATCAGTACTTCTTTTGTCTATATATTAGAAACATAATTATATTTATTCATTTCCAAGGACTATGTCATGTAAACAGGTTAAGAACCTTAACTTTTCTCCATAATACTAATGGCAGGTCTCAAAATGGGGATTTTACTTATAATGTTTCACCATGGTTTTAGCAAACATTGTGCATCCTTGAAGAATTAGCATACCATAGTCATTTAAATTCCTAGCCCATTTTGCTGTTACTGCACAAAATTCAACTAGATGTTAAAAAAGAACCAAACTAGCTAACAGAAGTTTTAAGTGAAAAGTGTTTTAATAAGGAATGAATGCTACAACAAAACTTTAAATAAACTCATATAATACCTTGAAGTGCAATAAATGCTTTTTTATTGTATTCTCATTTCAATGAGTAACACTGAGAAATAATAATCCCACATAACAGTGACAATCTTATTTTACAGCGTGTACATCATTTACAGTCACATAACACACAATTTTATTAGATTTTCCAAATTTAATATTCAGAAGTTAGGAAAGATAAAAAAAACTTATTCTTAAGGAACTGATTCTTATCTGGTGCAAAAACAAAAAGGTGAACAGTATTTAAAACACAAAACCACAATATAGTATGAAGTAAAATTACGCTGAACAGCGGAATATAAACATGAAGCAACTAAAACTTAAAAGTATACATCATGTGCATTATATTTATGAACAGGATTTTCATTAAGTTTCCCTAAACCAGCTTTTAATATTAAGCGCCACTTTGATTTGCAGCATGCTAACACAAAGCATTGTTAAAAGGATGCATATTTTAAATTTATACACTGTAAACTGAATATCCACCTCCAAACTCTATTGGCAGCATACTGTTCTGTTAAATACTGCATAAATGCTGCCTCAATTTGAAAATGCATGTTAACAACATGGTATACAGATTTTAAAAATCAAAAATTTCAATAATGGCATAAAATTGCACCTTTAAACATTAGAGCAAGTAAGAGTAGAACAATCATACTTGCTAAGACTGTCCTAAAAAAGCTCTCCAAACATTATATTTAAGAAAATTGTGTTCTCTCAATTTAATCTTGAAATCATTAAGAAATATAGTGCTGATATTGTTTGCCACACTACAGTTGTATTCATCTTAGAAAGCCACACTTGACTCAAATATACTTTTGTCATATATGCAATACTGAACAACAATCAACTTGAACATCAGAAAAAAAAGGAACTTTAGTCCTAAGGACTTCGCCTCAGATTTCAGCACAGAATTCTATATTTTAAACGTCTTACCTGTGATAAAATATTAGCAGCTCTGAAATTTGTTTTTTTATAGTACTGAATTACACTAACCTGTTTTTCAGTGAAATTTCCCATAATGAATACACAAAACATTTGCCATTCTTGGAATTCAGCGTCTAGTTACAATATAAAAGGCTCAATGACTAAGTGACTGATGAATTTTATTTCCCCACCCTGTTTCTAAAATTGCATAAAAGTGAGGTTTTGCTTTCTATAAAGCATTGCTAAAATCCTCTCTTTTCAGAAACTTTTGTCTCTTGTATGATCAATTAAGGTGTTTGTATTTAATTTTCCTCTCTGTATGTTAATTATACATAAAATACTATTAAAAAGACAATTAAATCTTTCTGCAACCATTCTATGGTGCTTTTAAACTCTAATTTTCAAGGGGCTATGAGATTGCCCCATCAATTCAAATATTTTAAGACCTTTAACACAAATAAAGTTATGGTTTAATATTAAGTTTTGAAACTAGAAGAAACAGTGAGGTCTTCCTCCCAGGGGGCATATCTCATTTTCTAAATGGCTTTTTAAAATGTATGTCTTACATAAGAGCCTCCTTGTGGTGCCTCATAATATGCTGATTTTTTTCTGATGGTCTCCGGAATCCCTTCTTGCAGAATTCACACCTGTGTGGATAGTCTTTTGTATGTATTGAAATCACATGTCGTTTAAAGCCAGATGCATCTGTAGTGCTATATTCACAATACTCACATTGGTAAATCTTCCTTCCAGTATGAGTCTTCATATGTTTTTTGAGCTCATTTTGTTGTCTGAACCCTCTCTTGCACCTTTTACACTTCAATGATTGATCCTTAGTATGAACTGAAAGGATATGACCACTAAGAATAAATGGATCTGATGTTTTAAAGTCACAATGCCTGCACTGATGAATCTTCCTACCCTTATGAATATCACTGTGTTTTTTGAGCTCAGATGGACGATGGAAACCTTTATCACAGACCTCACATTTATGAGGGAAATCCTTGGTATGGACAGATATAATGTGCCGCTTAAGGTCACTTGAATTGGTGCTCTTATGATCACAATGAGGACACTGGTGTGTTTTATGTCCTTGAAACAAATCCAGATGCCGTTGAAGCTCCCTTTCATCACCAAATGCTTGGGGACAGTGCTCACATTTATATGGCAAATTGTTACCATGCTTAGACTTAATGTGAGTTTTCAGATTAGACTGATCTGCACACCTGAAGACACAATACTGACACTGATATGGCTTCTCACCAGTATGGGTTCTCATATGTTTCTTGAGTTCAGAGGGATGTCGAAAGCCCTTTCCACACTCAACGCAAACATGAGGAAAATTCTTGCTGTGAACAGCG